ACATCCAAGTGTCACAGTGCACAGACTCTCTTAACTCCGGAAGGAGCTTAAGTCCGTAACTCCTCAAAGATGGGAAAGCTGTTGATCTTCGTGAAGTGAACTTGTAATGAGTTTCACAAAGCTACCTGTATACTAGGTAAGGCAGATACCTACTTTCCCCATGTAGCTAAGCATACTAGATATCTAGTTCCTGAACATACATGTGTGTGTATGTATATATAATTCCTATAAAATCTGCTGGACTTTGGCAGCCTACTTAACCTAACACCTTCATGTTCTCACTAGGTACCACTATCCACCTTTTAGCAACCTGATATCCTTTAAGATCTGTACTTCACTGAAGAATGCTCAGTGTTCAGATCTTTAACCATCTTTGCTAAAACACTATTTTAGAAATGATCTTAAAAGTAAGGATTCTTATCTGATATTTGACTTCAGTCTGAAAACACAAACAAGTTCGCACATCTTTATTCTAATTGCTCTGCTTTTCTGCTTAGCTCTGAAGGAAAACAGTTTATTCTCATGAGGAAATAATTTCCTCTGAATTGAGTTCTTTTTCTCCCCTTTTTGTTGAGAGTCAATCTTTTAAAGTGCCAGGCCTCTAAATAAAAGAGTTTTCTTAGTGAAGCAAACAATCTTAGTAAGCTAGGATCTGCCTTCGAAACAGAATTGAAGAAAATCTCCCTTTTTAGGTCTGGAAGGTAAGCAGTTAAAGAATTTCAATGTCTGGAATGGCTGAGATTTACAATCTAGCTTTCCTCAGCCAGGTGAAGTTACTTACAGAGGTCAAGTTTTAACACTTGGTAGTTTTAATATTATATGGATACTATATTATATTTTGTGTAAGACTATGAATTTAAATGCATGGTGTTAAAAAGTTTTTCTGGAAACCTCACTGTGTGAGTATCATTTAAGTTAATATAAATGTTATGTTAAAAAACCTCACACAACTCCTTGAATGTTTTCCCATCTGAGTTTCTGCTTTAGAGAGTCCAAATCTTCAAAATTATTCTCCTGACAGCATAGAGAAGTTACTTTTTTTTCTGCTTTAAGGGAAGATGTGATGTAAATTCCTGTTACTTGTCCAGTGATGTAAACAGCTGTTTTCTTTTTTTTTCTTTTTGTTATTAAATGTTAGTTGAAAAAAAGTATATGATTAGTTCTAAGTATGGATCTCAACTCTGATGATAACTTCCCCTAATTTGGGGAAAATTGTCTAACCTGTCAGTTTCACTTTCTACATGTATTAAATGTTATGAAATTACTCTGTTTTTTAGGAAGGTAGTATTGAGGAGTTAGATTGCAGAGGTTTATGAAGGATTTAGACTACTCAGATACTGATTGTCAAGTGCAGTGAAATACTGTTGTTCTCTTACTACTTTATTGATTTAATGTTAACTTACATTTTGTTTCAGCTCATTCAAAAAATATACATATTTTATTATTTAAAACACAGACAAGTGTATTTTCATAGTTACTCAGTTGATTAATCATTTAGTAATCTGATTACAGATGCTATGCACAGAGTTGTTTTAAAGTACTTGCAACAGAACTAAAAGTGAGACCATATTGTACAATATCATGTCTTTTAAAGGTCATGGAAATTGTCCAATTGTCATTTTTTATTGTGTCATGAAATGTATTTACACCATTTTGCATACCTTTAGTGACATACAAGCTATTATAGATAAACTATGAGGCAAATGTGTCGTTATCCCCCTAACATGCAAAATGTGTTTCGTGCAGCTGTTCAAGAGGTTGAACTGCACTCTAAATGGCTGTTTTAAGAAAAATAACTTGGAATCACAGACTCATTTGGGTTGGAAGGGTGCTTCAGGTCTCTTGTCCAGACCCGTGCTCAAAGTAAGGACCACACTGATTTCATACTAATTTGCACAAGGCTTTGTCCAGTCAGGTCTTAAAAACCTCAAAGAATGGAGATTCTGCAGTCTCATGTGAGATTCCCCAGATGAGATTAGCTCATTTCTGTGTCACGGAGTATATATCAGCACTAATACAAAAGATAAGTGAGTAGAACCTTGTTAATTAAATTTAAAGAGCCTGCGTAATGGAACAGTTTCTGGGAAATGTGAATGGTTATTGAAGGTGGCTAAATAGGATGGCTATTTAAACCACAGGAGCTTATATTTCAGTTCTAAACCACAGTCTATTTATGCTTTGTAGTATCTGTGGTAAACAAAGAAGAAAGCTAGATGAAAGCCAACGCGTCTGAAGGAAAAACAAAGAAATAACCATTGAGAGTGGCTTTTATAGCCAACTTTGTTTGGGTTTTCTTGGATCTTTAGTATCATAAAGTAATCAGCTCTATCCAGACAGGTATATCTGTTTCTTTTCATATGAACATGTTTTCCTCCCAGATGGGATATCGCATGACCGATGTTAAGATTGGATTGTGATGTAATTGGTATAAAAAGCTTTTGTGAGGATTTCTGACATCTATTTGAATAATACCTGTTAAAATCTAATAGATTCTCTTTTTTATCCTATAATAGCTTGCTATTGTAGATCACCACTATAAATTTTCTGATTATTATTCTCTAGTTTTAGCACTAAAAAGGTTATTTTGGAGGCTGCTGAAAATAAATCTATTGTATTTCCAAAGAGATTTTCTAAATTAAAGCTGCATTAAAAATTGCTCAAGTGAGTTGATCTGATCTTGCTGTTCTGATGCATTTCAGGTATGTGAGCTGTAAAAATAAAGCCTGATAATGCTGGTAGTATAGCAGTCTGTTAGATAAAGCATATAGTAGTAAGGGCAAATTACCATTGGGGTTCAGGAATTGTTTGGCTGCATCCCTACATTCTTGAATTACATAACCAAAAGATCTTTAGAAGAGCTTGTCTGTATCTGGATTTCATTATAATGCTTCTTGTATATATATTCATGTATTAATGTGCATATTCACATTTGAAGTCAAACTTCAAATCTTAATGAGATTTCATTCATTTATTTTTTACTTCAAAGCTTCAACTACCCTAGTGTAGATTTAGAAACTTTTGCTAGTATGTTAATGTTGATCATGAGTGTGAATTTTGTTTCAGTGTTTATATATTCACAAAAGGTGCAGACAGTGATCAGCAAAAAAGTTTCTTTGATAGTACAGTCTATTGTATTCAGTGAACAAGTAATAGATAAACTAGAAAAAGCACAGTGAATATTTACTGAAATAGCTGTATTGACAAATTTTTTCTGCATAGACCCATTTATATCTTCACTTTGATGTTTGATATTAGCAAGTAAAAAATTATAAATTATTTCCAAATTATAGTACTTGTTAAGTAAGTACATTTTTTTAATAATTATTGATAAAGAGAACTTCTGCCATTTTCGGTGAGTGCTGTTACAAAGAAAGGTTCTGATGTAGTTAAAAATGGTTGACTCTAGACACTTCTAATGAAAAGTAAAGCATTTAGGACCATTAGTAATTAGCTTGATTCCATTTCAGTCATCTAGCAGCTGTTTTAGTTAATTTTTTGTGATCTTTATCTAAGTGCATAGCTGCCATAATACCTAGAAAACTTGTAGGCAAACTGAGCAGAATGAAATGATATAATGCATTAGTTGTGTAGGGCTTAGCTGAGCACTTCAGTAGCTAGAAAATGAAGACGTCTTTTCTTCATCAGGTCATACTGATTTTAGCTGAAGTTTCAGACTAGTCCTGTAGGCTATTACATATTTCTGTACCTGTGAGTATAGGTTCTACCGTCTGAGGATTAGTTCCAGTACCTGCTGGAACTGTGTCTAAACCATGACTAGCTGTAACCTTCTTTTACCTGCTGTAACTCTGAGCCTGCTGGTAATTCTATTAGCAAGAGTATGCAGAAAAGAGTTTTTACATTTTTGCATTGTTTCTTTTCAGATGTCTGTTGTGTGATTTGCTGCAGGCTGTCATTTTTGTCTGCCATCCAATGTATGTTGGCAAGAGGGTTGTGTACTAGTCTGTGTGTCTGGTCACAGAAACAAATTCATGCATTTCAGCCAGACCATTTTGTTATTCCTTTAGAATTAAAAGCATATGAAACAGATGCATCTTAATAAGTACTTTTTTTTTTTATAAATAACATTTAAATAACTTAGAACAATAAAGTTCAAATACAACTTAAAATAAAGTTTAATGCTGTAACAACAGAAAAAGCATGTATAAGGATGGAAAAACAATACTGAAAGCTGTATGCCCTAACAGGAATTATACAAAAGATAGGATATGTTACATAAAAAACCTTAATATGTCTGAATTTTTGCTTCATCGTTATATAAAATGTTAATTTGTGAAAAGTGAGATGAAGTACATTATTTAATCCTATTCTTATTTTACATACACTATTTGAAACATCTTTTAGAGCAGCATTAGGTATTTGTTTCATTAATAGATAGGAACATTTTGTGTTAGAGTAAACTTAATTTTTCGAAACTAACTCTTTTATCTGAATACAACAATAAACATTTACAAGATTATATTTTTTTTCTGGTCATATAGTTTATGTATAGGATATCAGTTTCTTGGGGGAAGTATTTAAAATACTGCTCAGCCTCCACATTTACTATTGACTTGATAATCTGACAACTCATTCCAGCAGCCTTAAAGTCTGACATATTTTACACAACATTATCATCCGCTTATTATTATTATAGCAGCCATATTTAAGAAGCAGATAGGGTTCTTTAAATAAAATATTATCAGATAATCAAGTAATGACTTATTCTTCAGGGTAAATTAATTTAAGAAACTACCCAGTTACAATGACTAAGATAATGATTGTACAACTCTTTAGAATTTTTTACAACTTTTAGTTAGTAAATCTGGTTTTGTGTATATTTTCAAATCTTTTTCATGTAGTCTCTTAAAAATAAAGATAAATGCGCAAGTCCAGCTTGTTCAGTTTCTCAGTAGTATTCCAGCCTCTCTTGGTATCTTGTCAAATAGTCTTCTTAAAAATAATCTTCCTGCTGGAACTAGTTTTTTATAGATCATTTGTGATTAGGATATTGCCAGAGGAAGAAAGTGGGATGCTCTGTGTTCTTTCTTTGTTTTTTTACCTTTCATGGGGACTCCTTTGTGGTTTAATGTAACAAACATCTCCTTTCCTTTGTGTGTCCATTTTGCAGAAGCATATGTGTTATAATGGTTTTCTTCAATCAGTTCTATGAAGTTGCAGTCCTCATTGCATACTTTCTGTTAACAGGAAATAATAAAATAGAGTAAAATAAGTACAAGTGTCTTTTGAATATAGATTAGGGAAGATGGAAGAAGAATATGGATTATAAACCCCACGTATTATTAATATAATAAATAAATCGAACTTCTGAAATCTAAGTATTGAGTATTTTAGCTTTGTCTATTCCCACATAATATTCCACGTTATTAAAGAGTACCTAAGCTCTAATCACTGAATTTATTACATGGACATAGAAGTCTAGTATGAGATGTGTGAGATAAATACAGGTTACATTTTAATATGTGAGGAGTATGTTTTATACAAACTATACAGATGCTACTTCTAGAGATACATATCTTTAGGATTGTACGTGATGATTGTACACACGAGAGAAGTTTGCATCCATACCTTTCCATAGAGTCTTCCTGACTTGTTCATTGCCAGAAAGTATTCACTTTCCACTCCTTTGATTGCCACTATTCCAACTGCCACTGTTCGGATTTCTAGGATACCTGCAAAGGCACACAGTAAGGGCTGTAAGATGGTTGTTTGTTCTCCAGTCAACTTAGAAGGTTTAGTTGAACTTGCATTCTTTAATACTTCTCTGTTTATTGAAAATCTGCAGAAAAATGATATATTTATTCATGTGAAGAAGGGGATAGACTTTAAAAATCGTCTGCATGTGATCATGTCTGCACAAAGCCACTTGAAAATTGTATGGTGATAATTTTCAAGTGTATGCTGAAGTTGTGATGTTAGTAGAAGTAGTATTTCTGCTTTCAAAGAATCAGCATGTATTAGAATTTATCAGGCTCGGGGTTTCATTTGGAAGAATTATATACATAGCCATCAAGGTTCACAAAATTTGTGTAAAGCCTTCATTTTGAAGACTTGTGGAGCAGTATCATCTCCTTGA